GTGTGTGTGTGTGTATACTGGTCTGGCGCTGCTGGTGAAGAAGACGGAGGCATGAGAGAAGGAAAGGGCAAGAAAGAGAGGGGGGGGCTCCTTGTTCCTCATTAACATACAAATGGAATTCTGCAGTTGAGAAGAAGTCTGTGCTGTGATTGAGAAAAAAGGAGGGAGGTTGGGGAAAAACGATGGAGAAGTGGGAGGGTGAATCCTCATGCCATTTCATCAGATCTGTCTATTCCTCTGTTTAGAGCCACTGTTAGTTTGAACTGTTCCATTAAGGTGTTCGGCTATCAGATTCTAACACTAATTGACTTTCCAAAGCCATCAGCCTCAGGGTGGGAGAATTTGAAAGTGATGCTTTTATCTAGCTAGAAGACAAACAAGGGGCTTGATAAGGACTGTTGGAGCAGATTTTTAAGGAAAGGGTAAAGATTTCAGTTTGTAAAAGGAAATTCGTTGTATTTTTTTAATGGTTTGTTATGGAAAGACTGAAACCCAAAGTCAGACATAATGAATAAAACTGAACCAGCAACCATTCATGAAGGGTTCCACTGAACGCAAGATCCACTAAACCTGCTCTCACCTGTTCAGCTTACATAAATCTAACGTGGTGTTTATTTTCCTCGGTTTCCCCACAGCTTCGCAAACGGGGTGAAGTACGAGGAACCAGTGCTGCAGACGAATGAAAAGGCAAAGGATTTTAAACACCACGATGACAACAGCGATGGAGACTGCTAAGAGGGATCCTTCGGTGCCACTTTTTTTTTTTTTTTTTACCTGAACTGATTCAGGCTGTGGAGGAGGGGGCTCTGCTACCTGCAATCAATAGAGCAGATCCCTGACTTGCACCCAATCATAGACATTCTATACACTGAGGAATTGATTTCTAGAAACCAACACGATCCTAGCTGATAAGACTTAATTTTGATCTCCTGGGCAGAGGAAGGCTAGCTATCAGCATCATGTTATTGACAACACCTAGCCTTCTGGAGAGATATGAAGAGGAGCTACTTGCAGTAGAGAATTTCTTACAAAAGCAAATTCATTGGCTTGATTCCACAGTGGCAGGTGTTGGACCAAATATTTCCTCTGTATTATTTTGATTTTCTTTTTTTTTTTTTTTTTTTAAATGTTGTCTCCAAAACATTCCTCTAAAGATGATGCCCTCTCTGACCTCTCTTTGTCTCCTCTTTGGTTTTAACTGTACACACTGTGGCTCTGTGGTTTGCATTCCCCGGCATGAGTCTGTCTGTTTGTCATACTCGTGTTCCTTCCTGCCACAGCCTCCATTAAGAGATTACTAACACTCTTGGCGCCTTGGCCTATTGTAATCCCCCCTCCACCCCCCCTCATCACCCCACCTTACCCAAAGCACTGCATCTTATTAACACTGACAATCATGCCCGTACAGGTATTCACTCTCATGTAGAATTAATAGAAAACCCACACACATGCATGTGCCACATATACATCGTGCGCATAAAGATAAACATGTGAAATCATTCTCACACGTACACGCACTCACAGGTGTGGATGCCTTTGCGGTGACTGATCTCTTAAAAGCATGCTGGGCAGATCCATGCAAGCTTGTTCAGCTAAAGGATGTTACTTTGGAAGTGTTTACAGCTATCACAGATTTTTTTTTTTTTTTTTTCTTTCTCCCTCCACGCACTCCCTATTCCGAAGACATTCACACATAACATACAACACAGCATTCACCTCCCTAACAGATGTCCCCAGAGAAACACTGCACTGAAAAACAGCCACAGATGGTGCTACACCCCTCCAGCCTCTGTCACAAGCCAAACTGCACCGCACTGCTCGCCCCACCTCACCCAGCCCACCCTAGAGGCCTGTTTCGCTCATCTGGTTCTCCGAGGTAGACTGTTTCCAAAATGCCTCTTCTGCATCATTCTAGGTGTGTTTACAGATTCAGAACAGCCTTACCAGTGCCCAGCCAACACCAGCACCACACACTGCTTGCCTTAATCTCCGGACCTTTGTACCTATTGGACCTATTATACCTATTGTACCTCTGCTGCCAGCTATTGCTCTAGCTACCTCCCTTGTTTCTGACTGGCAATTTTCCTGACACCTGAAGGTTAGCGCTAGCTATTAGCTACTACTTGTTAGGAGTAAATCATGACAGACAGAGCTTTATGAGCAAAGTTGTTTGTGATGACTCTTCCCTTGTTTCCTGATGTGTGTCACAGCGCCTGCGCAAGTGCAATTCCTTCAGCAAGCAAAAATGTGTACGTTGCTGCCGGAACAAAGGGCTGCAGATTTACATCTTTGCCTCAGATCAGCCGTTTGATGGATATGCCATATTAATGACTTTTCAACTCCGTAGTGCACTTTCTTGCCTTAGGCTTCAGAATCATGTGGCACTGGCCTACTGTGTTACTCACTAGTGTTACATACATATATATAGATTGGTTTCCTCATTTGATCCTCACTGGTGTTCTTTTGAGTTTTTGTGTTTTTTTTGTGGTGTGTCAATGTCTTAAATTGGGGGTTTGTTTTTAAAGATCAATTTGCATATTTTTCCTTAAAGACGTAGCTGTAATGAAATACTCTGGGTTTAAAGATCCCAATGTTTTTATTTTCAGAGGGAATGTGATCACTTCCTCAGTAATGGGTTATTGGCTTGTCCAAAGAGTGTGAATGGATTTCTGATATGTTTACATGAATTCAGTTATGGTAATATAGGAACATTTGAAATTGTCTGAGGCAACGGTTTTCATAACAAGGTTTTCTCAGGTGAACAATACACAACACACAGGATCTTTTTGATAGTGTTACTCATCAGTTGCCCCAAACACTTCCTTTTGCCATTCCATATCTTTTGTCTGTCGGGAATTTGGTAATACAGTTTTAACACAACGGGAAGTGGTTGTATTGTAGCCTGTTCTGTTCTAGCGCAGTACATGAGGCAGCCAGTTGCTCTTTGTTGTTGTACTGGATTTGTATGCGTATGTCTCGAAGAGTGAAAAGTGTGAAACAATTTGTCCTCAGTGTAATCAATCTCTCCAAGTCTATCTCAATGATTCCTGCTGTCTGTTAAATAGAGAAGCCAGTAGCTAAAGAGAACAACTTAAATCAATGGTTTACCATCTGTCAAGACGATGCGGGGGAGAGGAAGTATTCACTAAGCAACTGTACAGTCTTATCCTAATTTATGAAATCTACAACTGTTAATTTCTGAACCGCTTGCTCTTAAATGTTTCTGATCAGTTTTTGAAATTCAGGGGACATGGTAGTGAATGTATTACATTTTGTGCCTTTTCTTTCTGTTGATCTTTTTGTGTGCCATTAAGTCTACATATTGTACCTAAATATCAAATAAATTTTGTCTGGAAAATACATTTCAGATTGTGCTTCTGTTGTATATACAATATACAGGTGGTTGTTGGAGATTGAAGCTTAAATCGAATGGGATGCAGTCAGACTCCTTTCCTTTTTATGTTTCATGTATTCCTGTTTCCTCTAGACCAGTGGGCATGCATATGGATTGGCTGACAAGATTTGTCAGTGTCCTATTTCTGTCCAAAGCCTTGGACCAGCTGATGGCAATAGTAACCTAATAGGAGTGCATGTACAGCTTGTAAACAACTGTCTACTAACTCAGAATAAATCTTTTAAATAATATGCAATGACATTTTCATTGAGGATGTAGGCAGAGCTTCATCTTGACTTCATTTGGAGTAGCTTAGATAAGGTCTGAGGCTTGATTACAAGTATTAGTTCTCTACTGTAAAATGCACATCAGATAGGATAAACATCCCTTCAGAAAAGTTATCAGTGACTCCAGCATGGACTAGACTTTCAGTGACCTGCAGGTCAGAAGAGTCGCACAATAACAGCGGAATCCGTGCTAAAGAGCAGGAAGAGCCGCCAGTCTGCTGGCTGAGATATCCGCCTTTTTTATTGTTTGTGGAGGAATGGTCACATGTGCGTGCTGCAAGGAAACCAGTCATATCTGCCCCAGAACAAGCAAATAATGCTGTTTCTAAAAGCGGAGATGGGCAGACTCGCCCACACACCTCCTGTTAAGTGGCAGCTCACAGTAGTCTACAGTAGGCATGCATCCATCCATCCATGTGTCTCCCTCCTTGAGAAGATGAAGGGACATGTCATGAGTGAGCCCCTGTCATTTAAATAGATGAGGCAACAGATGAAGAGAAGAAATGAATCTCAAAGGGAGGCTCAAGACTTGACACAGCAGGACATCCAGGCATGTTGCCGAAGAAAGACTCGATGTTCAGAGCTAAAAACACTTTGTGATAGCCAGAACAACCAGCTTTTTGCTTTAATATGTACGCAGAAGTAACAATATTCTTAAATGTGTCAAAATGAATAGAAAAAGAGCTGCAGCGCTGTTTGTTGCACCACATGGCTGCATTTCCTGCTACAAGATGACACGCTGGGATGAGAGCGTCTCTTTTTGGAGGAAGTGGCAGGGTGAAGATATAGCTCCAAGTTTGGTCCACCCCTGCCATGTTTGTGTACAGTATGTGAACTTCCCCTGGGGCCAGATTTGCTCAGGGACTGCAGGTTTTCTTGGAGAGGAAGGTTATTTTTGGCTTTACATGGGTTGCCAGTGATGTCACGAGTGTTTCCTCATCCTCCGTGCTCGGGTCAAGTTTAGCCCCAGAGATTCTCCTGAGTTTTCCTGTTGTTCTGAGAGAGGTGGAAGAAGTGTGGAGCCAACTGACGTGGAGAGGCGGGTGGGGGGGTTGTGGGTAGGGGGGGGTTCTCTGTCGCATCCCTCCCCTTAATACAATGGTGCTTCTCTGGATGACAGATGCTGCTTAACCCACCCTGACCCAGGGAGTTGTGATGGCTCAGTTGAGTGACAGGCCCATAGAGGACACACTGAGGCTCCGCTCCAAGCTGCCCAAACTGCACAGGACGCTGTCCCCCCAACAAGGGAAGGAACTGTCTCTTTGGGAAACCCTCACGGTAATATATGTCTATCTGAGGAAAAGCTTAACACTGTGAATTAAGGCTAGAGAAGGGCACCCACTTCTGCTATCTTGTCCTATTGAGTAAAATATTGAGACAAATTGAGTACTAAATCACTGCCGAGAAGAGTGGTATTGTGACAGTGCTTGAAAGCCTGTAGACTGTCCATTGTCATGAAGTCGCCTCAGCAGCAGCTCTGAGCTGCATTTATCATCACTGGGGACTCAGGGGGAAAGAGACCATGCCATCAGTTTGTCATACTTAACTTGTCTGTCTCCATTTGAGTAGACTGTAGACAGAGCCAGCAGGAACTGTATCACAGGGGTATTAGTATTACAGTCAGATAGAAGACTATCTTGATTTTCTTTCCACTGTTGGGCTGCAGAATACTTCTTTCTAGTGTTGTTAATGTGGTTTTATGATTCAACGAGCCTTTATCAGTTGAGAAATGAACATGAATCCTGGTGGCTGTGGGGGCTTCACAGAGCAGTGATGGCAGCCCTGGTTAAAAAAGTTTGATATGCACACACTTTTGTGTTTTTTTCTGAGTAAAACTCAAATGATGCCACATCCAGCTGGCTCTCAGATACGGAGGCAGTTCTCTTGCAAGGTAATGCTGAGAGAAATGTGTGTTTTCTTTTAGTACAGCAACCTTCAGAGCATCTCAACATGCCTCTCCTTCCTTCTCTTGAACACAGGTACTTTACACCATGTCTCCTTCAAAACACAACCACCGTCTATCCCTGCCTCCTCGCTCTGAGCTGCTGTCCTCTCAGCTGCAATAATTGCATATACACACCCCCAGAAAATCCCAGATATGCACACATACTTCCCCGCATTCTTCAATTCCTTCTCCTGACCTGTCTCCAGCCTCAGCCCTGACTTACAGCCTTCTCCTATGAGTGCAGGTGGGCATATAGCCTGCTTCTGTGAGTAGTATAATAATAATATCTGATCATATTTGAAAATGTATTGTGGAAAATCATACATAGACATGATTTTCCTGCTCATTTACCTCAACTGCAGCTGTTAAAGAAGAAAAGGAAACATTAGACCTTAGTTGGTGATAATTTTTTACTTAAAAAATAACCTTAAAATAACTGATTTACTGGGACAGAAGACATTTATCTGATTATTTTTTCCAAATAAAACCATTCCTTCAACACATGACTGTTTAAAAAAGAACAGATTTCACAAAGTGATAATGGATCTTTACATTTTCTGTATTTGATAGGATTTTACGTGATTTACAAACCAAATATATAATATTTGTTTGCCATAGACTGACGTTTAGATTTTAGTTTAGACGTATGCCTCTTTAAAACTATTTTCTGAACGCTTCAGCATGAGGGCGGACAGCTCTCCTCCGCTCTCTCTGGCACCGGCCGCTAGGTGGCACTGTGTCTGTTTGGTAAAAGTCCTCTTGGTTCCCCCCCAAAGGTACAGAGCTGTCTGACACCAAATTCTCTAAATGCCCACAGTCCACATTGTCGGGAAAGGATAATATGGTGTTCTCCTTTCACCAAGGAAAATATCCATGATGGTGAATTAAAGTACATTTTGTTCATCATTCCCACATGTTTCCTATATTCTGAATGATCCCAGAGTTCTTTTAATCCCTAACAAGTAGACTCCCTCTCACGTACACACATTCATGGATTCATTGTAGGATACGTTATGGAATATGTTTTAATGTGTCTTTCTTTTTGTTAAGTGCTAAGAAATGAAAAACATTTTTTCCATTCCAAGATTTAAAGTATCCCAAAAAAATTCACAAGTGACTAAATAAGTGAAGACAAACAGATGAGTGAGCCACACACACAAACATTAAGACACATTCTGAATTACATAACAGTAGGCTAAATAAAACATCTGACACACGCCTATGCAAAACTATGGCATAACATTTAAATATATCACAAAGCAGATTATTTGTCTGAACATAATTAGGGCCACACACACACACACACACACATAGGGCTAACTTTCTTACTGGGACTTTTGTCTCACATGAACATTTAGATATGCTGTTTGCACTCCTTTCAGGTCTTATTTTCGGTTGTTGCAGCACTTAACCTCACACAGATAACCTCGGCTCTATACAGCTAATTAACCTGTTAAGCAAATGATCCTAATTCGGCCTTGGAAAAATGTCCCATTTCACAGACTATCATACTAAGAGAATGCTATTGATTATCGGAACCGAAGCCCAATATCATCCACATGATTTAGTTCAGATGGTCTTTTAAGGAGGATTTTTTTCCCCTTTCTCTCCGTTGGGAAACGGATTCACACACTGAGACTGGGGCGAGTCTGATTGGTCACAGGGGTGTGGGTGAGTCACTTTATAGTATTAGTATAATTTATACCTTTATCCTAACATCAATATCAGCTACAGGCCACGTTTCTGTCAGCACATACTGATCAATCTACTGACGCCAATGGATTTCACCAGTTCACTGATATTCAGTAGGATTTCAGAATCATCCCTAATTACCTAGACCTGAGAACACATTCCACATCCAGCCTGTGAGCCCAGCATTAATCTCAAATGATTGTGTGTAAGTTATAAACCTAACAAACAACTGGTTGCTCGTGTAGTCGTTGGAGCACAGCTCGTTATTGGTGGAACTATATCTCAGTTCATCTCCAAGTTATTGCTTCATATGTTAAAAACATGTTGCAGTGGAGATACAGGTCCAGTGGAGTGCTGACCACTGCTCGGATCAGTGGAAGCAAGAGCGAAAGGGAGGTTGGTTCATATGTGAAGACGGAGAGAGAGCAGAATTTCACTTCAAGCTGCTGTTCCAGTGGAGGATGTGAGAGCTCCAGGAGTGTTGTAAACTTCAGTTCAGTGGCATAAAGAACAAAAAAATAAAATAAATGAATAATCTAGTTCATCTTTAATCTTCTATCTGCTGGTGGGTTTTAATGTGAAGATACAGCGCTGGATGTTTTGGTCGAAACATCCCATTTAAGTGGAAGCCGTTTTAAGATCTGATTTACACACAGGCGTTTACAATCTCATTGACTCCGCGGACCACCTTAAAAGCATTTGTCCCGCCCCCGAAAGCTTTCTCCGGTCGCTCCGATTGGCTGAGACCTCATGGATGGAAGCGGCTGTAGAAATGCAAAACTTGTTGCTGGTTCCTCTGGACGCGTTGATCTCACACAGCGCCAAGCGGCAGAGCGGAGTGTGAGTGTATCTGTGAATCGCTCCCAAGTGCACTCAGACCACACCAGACAGGACTCGGTGAACGGAGCAGGACGCACACGCAGGAACGAGACGCACCGAAAGGACTTAAGGCACGGCGCTTCACTGCAAAGCGCATGACCGGCAGCGGGTGGAGGATGCTGTCAAGCCGCTCCGGAGTTGTGGAGTGCGGGTAGTGCA